CTTTTGTTAGCCTGCAATGACCCATACTCGTCTAAGTGTCTGAAAGGTTGGTTGTCACGTGAATTGTTGACCTGGCTGAATAGACAAGGGCCTCCAATCTCCGGTACAGGGGTAGGGGCTGCGATGATAGCGGGAAGGGAATAACTCAAATGCTGCATTGTAGATTTTTTAGAGCTGAAACCTGAGTTCACCACCTCTGTTTAAGGTTGTTTTTTCTTTCTTAACATCAAACCATCTATTTTCTTTGTCTGAAATGTGAACATTCTGGTCCACAAAAGAATGTCCTTTGTCCATAAGGAGTAGATGTACTGCAGTCGCTCCTCTGTGTTGGGCCATGCGTTTGTGGAGTGGTTGTTTGCTTTCTCCAATATAAAGATCAGGGCATTCTTCACTGCACTGAACTGCATACATACCTCTGTTCATATTTGGTCTGGGGGTTTCATCCTTAGGATGCACTAGCCTCTGTCTAAGGGTCTTGTTCGGTTTGAAATGTACTGGGATTTTGTGTTTGGAGAAAATCTTCTTGAGTTTTTCAGACAACATATAGGATGGCAATGTTTTATATGAGAATAAACTTTAAACTTGTCCACGTGAAAATGTAATGAAACTCTTGTATATATTTTGTCACTCTAAACAATAGGAACATTTTATAGCACTGGTTTACAGTATTAAAGGATCTTAAGGCCATTAGCTGTGTACCTGTATATAACCAATAACTCTCCTTTGATTGAAAAGAACTGTTTGGATGTATAGAGGATATTAGGTAGAAAATGCTACTACTGCAGGTGGAAAATAACTACAAAGTAAAAAGAAAAACAACCAAATATATTACTTCTAAAATTGGCTTAAAGAACAAAGAAAAGAAAATCGACTAAAACATATTTAAAAATGCCTCCACTTCTTTATTTACAAGTCCATATCAAAGCAATATTTGTATTCATGAGTTTTGCTTATTATGCCGTCTGTAGCTCTGGCACCTCACCAATTGAGCCTTGATGCATCAGAAGATGAAGCTGATCAAGAAACACCACAAGATGAAAAAGACACGGACAAGGAAGCCGTCATCCTGGACCTTCAACATGTCTGTTTGTGATGTATAGATTCATATGATGATACGAACATTTGGTGAAAGTTTGGATGGTTTCCGATGGGGTTCTCTAGGATCCTGTTGATATCTTTCTCCTATTTTGTGTCTTCTGTTTGCAGCCCCTTAACAAGAGATTTAATGATGCTCTACGCCTTTACCTCCAGAAAAAATTGGAGAAAACCCAGCTGGAATTGAAAAAAGAGGTCAGCTGCTTTTCAGTCTAGAGCACCATAATTACCAGAAAGCATTACTAAACCTTCTCAGCAGAAAATGTGGTTCTTTTTTGGCCTGTTTGTAAACATAACAATACAGTTCACTAATGTGGCTTCAGTTAAGTGACAAATGTGTAGATTCATTATTTAATTTTTTATTCTTTTAATGTGCCCCCATTCCTGTGACTCCAGTTGATAATTGGAAAGGATGATGACAGGCTGTTGACGAGCACGAGAATCGAGATATCTCAGTTGCATACACAGCAGGCAAGAGCTGAACACAAGCTGAGCGACATTCATCAAGCCAAGGCACTGGCTCAAGCCCAATGGCAGCAGGCACAAGATCGGCTGGAAACCGCAAAGAGCAAATATTCCAACCTTAGCAGTCAGAGCAGTCAGGCCAAAACTAAGGGTAGGATGCACTTAGATTATCTCTCAAGTCTACTGTTTTTTTTTTCTTTTCTTTTATTCTAATTGACAAAATGAGCTGCATAATCTCAAATCACTTAATGTTAATAATCAATGTAATGTGTACAAAAAGGATTTACTAATTTGGGTTAAGGAGTTTACCCTAATATGCTAGTCAGGTAAACTAAGCACAGCTCAGGTCACACATGACTTTTTAAATGAGATCTAGATCTTTTTCTTGTTATTGTTCTAACTCAAACTTATTGGCAAATTAATGTGTTTTTAATGCAATGCTTTTAATGAGTATCTTTGTTTATTTATGTTTTTTTATTTATGTCATGCATGTTTTGAGTATCAAACACATTTCAAGAAAAGAAAGATAACTAATGCCTGAAATTATTCTTGGAAAGAAGTTTCTAAACTTAGAAAAATAAAAATAACTAGGGCCCAAAGAGAAAACAGAACAGCTGTGATACTCCCTGTGAGTGGTCGGCTACCAAGCTCACACCAGGAGCATATCAACAACTACTCCAAGAGGTCACATAATTAATAAATGTTGATTATAGTGCAAAGGAAATGCTTGAAACTTTAAAACTGCGTGTTAAAAAGGCATATATGAGAAGCAGGCTTTCAATCTGTTCAGTGGGTATACAAAATTCCTTAAAAGACCTAAACTTCAAATATTACACATCACAATAACTTTCTTTGTTTTACCACAGTCTCAAGGCTGCAGGCAGAGTTAGAGAAGACATCGCAGCAGGTCGTTTTTGCCCAAGCAGTCAGTGAGGGACTGTATTCCAATGTCAAAATCATAAACAATGCCAAACACAAAGTGGATACTGAGAAGACACAAGCAGAAGAAGAGAAAAAAAAGCAGGTCCATACTCTATTACTTTATACTGACACGTCTTTCCTGGTTTTCAAAACATCCTGAACTGTGCATCTGATGATTTTTCAAAATGTCCCCATGTCATCAGGACTTGTATGTAGAACATCTGACAAAGGACTTGGAGAACCGGACACTGCTTGTAGCTGAATATGAGCTCCAGGGAATTGCTCAAGTACAGGAGACACAGGAAACAACTAAAGCACTATCTGAGGTAACTGTTTATCTGATGTACCAAAAAGTAAGCTACTTTGATTTAAAAAAAAAACTAGAAATCGAAATGACTCAAGACATACAGCTGGTGGCAGCACCGCCTTATTAAATGATTTCATCTAAGGAAGAGACTGGGTGTTAAGCAACAACAGACAATTATAAGGCTAGCCATCCAACCATTTTATCTGGCGTATTCCCTCAGGGTCCCGTAGTTTAACTTCTATTATTTATAGAAAGCAAAACTAAAATCATAAATTGCTATAATTGAAGATCATGCGTGATTTAAGTATAAATCATACCTGGAAATAGCTAGGGGTGACCTTTGTCCCTCTAACTATGAGCTTTGCCAAAAAGGAATTGTTTAAGTTTTTTTCTTAAAATTCGAAAGCAGTTGTTCTTCATTAGAATTAGAGTGGTCCAACTGTTAGGTAACAAAAGTATGGACTAGGTTCTCAGTGTTGCTCTGGGACAAGACAATAAAATCTAGAGTTTTGATGTCCTCCACACTTGGCTGCTGTCCAGCCAGAACACATGTGAAATTCAAGGCCAAGGGGCCAAATCAAGCCTGCCACTGCAATATATTCAATCCTTAAGAGTCTAGAAAGGCAGATTGTAAATACATAAAGTAGAGACTTTTATCACTGACGGCCAGCTGCCTTGATGCCACAGTTCTAAGATCATGTCAGATGTTTTTTTAATGATAAACTTTAACAAGCCAACTCACACCCTACATATGACAACTCTGATGTAGCTTTAAGGATCACTACATCACATGAATTAAAGCCACCTACTAATAACCAGCTCAATCCTATATATTTTTAAAGGAATAATCAGTTTATGAGTGTTTACAGGTATGTTTTTGTACATCCAGATTTATGATGATTTGTTACATGGTATTTTTTTAATCAAATAACAGGAAAATAACAGAAATCATGTCATGTTTTCATAGTTTTTTTACTTGCAAAGATTGAGCTTGTATTTGGTTGTTGTTTTCCAACCTGAAATAAATTAAAGTAATGGTAAAATAACAGATCAGTAGATCATTTTCAATGAAATAGTGTAATTATAAGTGTCATAATGGTTGTAAACAAAATATTGGACATGGAAAAAATATTTTGACCAGTTTGACCATCATAGATATCAGAATCAAATTTATTGCAAAGTAGGTTTGAACTTACAAGGAATTTTAGGAGTTATTTGGCATCAATGACAGTGATTATAAGGTAAGCTATATAGTCAATTTAGACTATTAGATCTATTAGATTTAGACTTTTTAGTCAATATTGTTATCTTTATATATGCGTACTCTGACATGGGGTCAGACTTGAAACCTGTGCATTCATGGCTCTCTTTGTTTAGGCTGAGATGCATCTGGAGTCGCTGCTAATGATGCATAAAAAGCTGCTGCAGCAGTGGAACGGCATCATAATAGATATTAAGAAACACAGTGAGCTCGTAAACACGATGCAGGAAGATTTACGGTAAGAAGGAGAAAAGATGAAAGTTGGACATGTGTCATTTTATTTACATCAGACGGACATCTGTTTTAAAGACTTGACGAGCTAGGAGATTCAAAATGAGTAGCCTTGGATTTACAGTATATATCTTTAAGATTTAAAATGAATAATTAAAAAAAAATTGCTTTCCTCCTTTTTTCTCTAGTGAGGTTGAGGCTAAGGCAGTTCTCCTGGGCAGAGATATTGAAGGCTATAAAAAATCCAACAAAGCAGAGCAGGAGAAAAATGAATCACTAACTGTTCAGCTGAATTCATATGAAATGGATTGTGAGACTTGGAAAAAACTGATCAGTAACAAACAGATGGCCCAAATGGAGCTGCAGGCCCAGTACAGCGCCTGTCAACACTCCCTTTCTGAGACGAAGCTTACCCTGACCACACTCACAAAAGTACGGAACTCCTTTCTTTTCTATTATTCCAAGAATGTTTTGTTAGACTAGCTTTTTCCTCTCTAACTGCTTCGATTCGTGCTTTAAGCATTCTGATTTTACTTCTCTCTTTTCCTAAGGAAATGAGTACGAATCAAACAAAATTAAGCAATCAGAGGAAGCAGGTAGAGAAACTGAGTGCAACATGTCTGGAGCTGGAAGAGAACATCATGGATCACATGCAGCAGCAGCTCACACACAGCAAGGCTGCCACATATTCAAAACAGCTCATAAGCAAGATGGCAACTCAAAAGAAGGAGAAGGTAAAAGGTTGAAATCATGAATGTAGGAGAATATATAATATTTCAGATTAAGATAACTAAGTTGATTTTTTTTGTGCATTTTCATTGTTTTTCTAAGGTTTTTTGTTTATTATTGTTATTTTGAGAATGTATGTAATTTATCTTCCCTACCATATTTCCCATAGATGAATCAGCTGCTGCACCTGGAAAGAGACATTTTGAAAATGAAACTGGAGTACCAAAACTTGGATCAGACAAACAACATCCTGACCCTTACTGTAGAGAAGCTTGATGAGGAGATTAAGAGGTTTAACAAGTTAATGACATTAGAAGAGAACTCCTTCTCTTCAACGGTTCTGCAAATCAAGCAGAAAGAGACAGAAATCATTGTTCTCGAAAAAAGGATTTCTCATATTGTGGAATCCACTGGGGTAAGCAACTGTATATTGCATTATTTACATTTATTTGTACTCATTTAACATCTAACATAAGACGTATATATATTTATAAAGTCAAATTCCATACTTAATAGAATGTACACCTTTCGTATAAACTCATGAATCCAATGTGGACTAGAATTGTTATGCTCAACAAAATCCAAAAATGGCACAAGTGTTTTGCATGTGCCTTTATTCTTCCTTATGACTACAACACTTAGTTTTCTCCTTTAAAATTTCACAAAGTTTCTGTGAGCAGGATCTCTGTTATTTATTAGTTGTTTTAGATTGTCCTAAATCTTTTCCTAAGCTCATTTTTCTTCATCTCACCCCTCTGGTTTCATAAAGAATTTCCTTGATCATACTCATAGAAGAAAGCTGGTGTGTGAATCCTCTGTGTAATAATGTAGCCATAACCAAGTTTTAATAATGGACCATTTAATTTATTTTAAAGAGTCCATCACATTTGTTATTTGGAATCACCAGATAGCAGGCACACAGGATCAAAGGCCTCCTCCATACTTAACAGTAATACTAGGCATGTTTTTTTGTTTTTTTTTATCCACATATCCATCTTTTGTTTAACATTAAACACACCTAGAACATTCGGTGCCATAAAGCTAAATCCTAGTCTTTTTTTTAATTTTTTATAATGTCTTAGTTAAAGCCTAGGTACAGTTAGCAAACACCTCATGATGACCTTTGAAGTGATGGAACAATAAAAAGCATCTCGAATAACTGGATAAATTGTGAAACAAACATTTTAAAGATGTCACTCTTTAATATAGCTTTGCTCCATTAGGATGACCATTTTAAGAAGATATGACTTCTTAAAAATAAATTGGTCATGTGGTTCAACTTACCTAGAGATGAGTTCATGTCTTTATGCATCCAGCCAAATTATCTTCTCCCCTCCTTTTTTCACAGCACTCTGCCCAGCTTACCACACCTTTTCATCTGGGTCTATGTCCAAATAATTACTGTAATAATAGTAAAATAATTTTTCTTGGAACATATTATGTATTCCTGTGGTTAAAAAAAAAAAAAATTGCATCATCAAAAATATTTTATGTAGATCAAGAAATGTAAAACTTTTACCTTACATAGTATCAGTTAAGATATTGATTCTACTGTAAAAATATTTAGCTCGGACTTACCTACAAAAGAGTTGAATTTATGCCTGACAAATGGAGAGCTACTCCTGTTTTTATTGGTTCTTAAACGGTGTGGACTTCACAGCATCATTAAAGAAAAGGAATCAAACAATTATATTAAGTACTGCAGTGCATAGAAATAAATGGATTCCTAGGATTTGAACTATAGTACACATACATGTGTATATATACACATGTATATTGAATACCAATCTAATTTCTTTTTACAGAATATGCTTAGAGTTGGCTATATAATAAAATAATACATCATACTCTTCAGGTATGATAGATTTTAGCCGATTAGTTTTACTTATCTTATAAAATTCTGATGCATACAGTAAATATAATTAAGTAGCCTAATCAATCTCTACTGTATGTTTAAAGATGAACTCACCTTTGCGTTATTATTTTCTACATCACAACATTTCTGGAAGATTGTTTTTGTAAACCAGACTAAAAACATCAAGTTGCCTGTCTGATTCATTTCAGCATGATGATCTAAGTCCTCTGGAAATCAAGATCAAGGAAACGTTAGCTGACATTCAGGAGCTGGATGCTCAGACTAAGAAAGACCAACACCTCTGGATGCTGCAGCAGGGAACACTTGTGGGACTAACCAGAGAGTTAGAGGCCAACAGCAAGAAGATTCGCAAACTTCAGCAGGAGAACACTGTATTACAACAGGAGGAGATCCGACAAAGGGGTAGGAAATCCATGCAATCTCACACAAGGCAAAACAGTTTTGACAGATAGGAGCCAGCTGTGATACAGTAAGGTTTTAGTGTATAAGGGGAGAGAGTTTGGATTATAACACATCTAATTGTTAAACTATTTACTTTTAGCATTCATAACCATCAGCATACCTAAACAGTGTTGATTCTGACTTCACCACCTCCAGGCCAGATTAAAGAAAAGGAGCGAGAGCAGGCAGAGCTGGACAAGAACTCACAGCTGCTTAGGAGAGACCTGAAGATGCTCTACAAGCTGATGGAAAAGAACCAACAACTGAGTGAGGCTCTGAAGCTTGAGAGCACACTGATGGAGACAGATTTTATCGACAAACTCAAGGCATGGCATGGCTGTGTTTGATAGTTATTTATTCCCTTTTTCTTTTCTTTTCTTTTTTTTTAACTTTGAAATAAAACTAACTTAAGCCCAATTTTTGTCAGGAAGCTGAAGAGGAATCTGTCGGTGTTCAAATGAAAATCGAGTGGACGCAGGAGGAAAAAGAGAACCTTGCCCGGAATGTGTTGGTGGCTGAGTCAGTCAGATTTTAATCCCATAATCATATCCTTTCATATAGTGAAATTAAATATGTATAGGAAAGGATTTCTGATGTGTTGCTAAAGTTCATAACATAATATCAGAAAACAGTTTTGATTTAAGGCTTGTGTGACCTGCAGTCTACAGATCGAGCTTTGGAAGAAGAAGACTCAAATTTTGAAGGAGACTCAGTCGGTTTTGGACACAGAGATATGCCAGGAATCCGAAAAGATGAAGGCTGCGATTCGTCGTATGGAGGTAAACAAAGTAGCGCCGGTTGGACCTTAGAGGTGTGGGCGCCATGAAGGAGTTGCATTGTCTCGCCATTGAGTAACTGCCAGACTTTTTATCACAGTCAAGGGCGTTTTTTTTTTTTTCTTTTTGTCCTTTTGTCCTTTCTGGGGCTCATTCGGTATAAATTATTTTGGTAGTGTAAAATTGCCTTCAATTTGCACTTTTCTTCAGCCATGTAGTAACCAGTGAGGCACAGAGCTTTAACAGCTGCATCCGCTCTCTGAGTAACAAGCAATTTATTTCAAACAGGCTAGACCCTATTAGCCTTTCGCTAGTAGGTTAAAGATGGAGCAGAATGTAGTTCATACATCATTGGCTCTTTCTCGACCACAAATGCAAAGCTTCTCTTTGCAATGAAAAACTTGAGAGCCAGGCTTGACATGCACTCAGAGGCAGCGTGCTCAAGCAGGTAACAGCTTGGAGGTATCTCTGGTCAGGGTAAAGGCTAAGATGACAGAGCTACTGCCTATCTTCCCGATGCACCTAAGATTTAAACTTGGATCCCTGCATTAAGGACCACCTTTAAATATATGGATAAAAGAACAAATAATAAGTATTTTTGTTTCTAGCTAAACTTGCTATGGGCACTCTAAAGGTGCAGCATAAGCAGTGGTATAAATGTTTTAGCACAATCTTTGTGTTGTGAATCTAATAATGCCCCTCTATATTAAGTAATTGAACTTTATTGATTTCACATTGGAGAAATTTACCTCTGCATTTAACCCATCCCCTTGTGGAGCAGTGGGCTGCCACTGTGGGACGCCCAGGGAGCAATCGGGGCTAAGTGTTTTGCTTTGAGAACCATAGCGACAGGCTGTGCGAATGGGGCTCAAACTCAGAACCTTCGGATTCCAAGCTCTATGCCCTAACTACTAGGCTGCCACTCCCTCACATGAATTTCTTTCGGCTTTCGTAGATTTATAACATTATCTGGGCCATCATCTGCATTCAGCAACAAAACATTGATGAAAGCAGTACTAAACTACCTTCAATTTTGGTCGATTTTGGCTCCCTCCAGTGGACAAAAGCTGTATTGTTGTGCCTGAAGAAAGACACCATTTCCCATGTGAAGCAATACATAGCATTGTAAAATCCTGATCTCCCGGTCACCTGCAGTTGTACTGAACTACATTTCTGTTTCCAGTGGCTGAGTGAAAGATGAATAGCAACTAGTTGTCGACACGTAATCACAAAAGTTATGAAAATATTTTACAAAGGTTGAAAAGTTCATTAGTGTTGGTTTAAATAAAATGTACACCCACTTATCAGTTTTCCGTCCTTTTCAGACATAACCAGACATGTTTCCCATTCTATTACAAAGATTGCTGAATTGAATTTCTCACATAATTCAGTAAAAAAAAAAGTTTCAATCAGTTTTTATTTCTGCTTTGGATGCTGTTTAATGTTTGTGCAGTTACGAATCAGCCAGCTGAAAAAACAGCAACAGCAGCTCATGAGGGAAAGTGAGCTAGCTGTGGCAAAAAGAGAAAACCTTGACCTGCGCAAGGAGACCATGCTCCGAAGTTCGCGCAAAGAGAGGACAAAGGAAGAGCTGAGTCGTTCCATACAGGGCCTTAAGAGAAAGATCAAAATAACACGCAAGGTAAAACGAAATTTGGTAGTCAACCTCCTCATATAAACTGGACAAACATTGATTTTTCTAGATGTGTCTCTTCAGGAGATTGCTGATTGTGAACTGGTAATTAAGGAGCTGGAAAACAGAAAAACCATCCTGAGTGAGAAGATTCAGCAGCAGAAGCAACACTTATGCGAACTATCCTGCACCAGCTCAAAACTAGATGACGACTTGGTGAAACTCCAGGACAACAAGATGATGGTAAATCTGCACGGGACCTCTTCTATCCGAGTTCTATGTTTGGCATCATGAAAATCAATCCCTTTAACTGTTTATTTTTTGAGTTAGAAATAACAGTTGGTATGCATCAGACAGCTGTAAGACTTTCACAATCAGTGAATCACTGCATCTTACACAATAGCCATAATGAAGGCGTGATGACAACGTTTCTTTTAAAGAATTATTTTTCCTACGTCAAGTGAACACAAATGAATTTCCTGGCATGAGTATTAAGTTGTCTATTTTTAAACAACCTTTCCCCTACATTAACAATAAGAGGTTCAGATAATGTCATATTGTTTCATCTGTCTGTATATGTGTTACAGATATAACACCAACCAGCTGAAATTGCTCTCTATCTTTCTGCACCTCTTTCCAGAGCCAAGCTTACTTAATTGCTCTGCAGAATCGAAACAAGAAATTGGAGGAAGTCTTTGAGGGAAAACACAAAGTCTCATCCAACAACGAAACTGTCATAGCGACTCTGCAGAGTCGAAGACAGACCCTGGAGGCTTACAGAAACATCTTCAAGCGTAACTGGGAGGACCTCTCTGAGCACAGGGAAGCGCTCTGCAATGTGATACAAGTAGTGGAGGCATACATACAAATTTCCCAGCTGTAAATAGAGCATAACCAAGGCATTATACAGAGCCTAAAGAGAAAAAAGCCCCCAAAAACTTGTTTATTTTCATGATTTCTTTATGCATTACTAGAATATTTATTGAGTGTGGAAGAAAACTTTGTTTTGCTGATTCTGCGAAGATTTTTGAAAATGAATTAAAAACCATTCAGTTCCGACAGACATTTTTGATTTTTGATGATTTCTTTATGCATTACTAGAATAGACATACTAGTTTTGAAACAGCTTATCAATTTAAAGGCTATTGATACTAAACTTGTGCTGTTTTGATTGAATCAATATTCAATTTAGGAAATATAGTCCAATGTTTTCTCATTTCATTCATTTTTGTTGTTTGATCTTTATATTTGTCATTAAGTTGCTGCAAAGCATGCAGCTGGCATTTCTTGTCTTTATTGAGTGTGGAAGAAAACTTTGTTTTGCTGATTCTGTGAAGATTTTTGAAAATGAATTAAAAACCATTCTTTTCCAACAGGCATTTTTGTCGTGATTACATTTTATTTCTTAAATCTTATATTTTCTATTCTTATATTTTTTCGGGATTCCATTGTGTTTTCTATGTATCTTGATTTTATTCTCTCTTGTGTGGTTTTTATGGTATTACGATTTCTTCGTACAGTATTTGCAACATTTTGTCTTTGAAAGGAGCTTTATAAATAAACTTCATTTACTTTATAAAGTTCTTTCTTAATTATATTGTTCATCTACTTATCTAAACCACATCTAGAGTCTAAACCTTTTTCCCTTTTAAACAAAGCTGCTGAATGACGTCTTTGATGGCTGCACGCAGACTACGTGCTGAATACAGTGTAAAGGTATTTTAAAATCACTGAGGCTATGTCGTGGAACTGGCTTTCTCTAAGAAATTTTCTCATTTTCCAAAACAAACCCCTATGCATATTTAGGACTGCTGGTTAAGCCCAAAAAAAAACTTGATTTGCATGTCTTAACGTGAGGAAATTCATTTTCTTCATTAAAAACATTTTCATCCATTTTCCTTATTTTAAGATTTTAACTTAAGTTGACAAAGGTTGGTTTGCTTTGTTTTTCTTATCTTCTCACAACATTTTCTTGCTTGAGTGTAGCAATGGGAGCTGGATTATTCATATAACTTGGCTAAGGGCTTGATCTCCAATGACTGCAACTAAGGAGCGCTAAACTGCACGTGCAAAAAAAATTTCTTTCCACGTGCAATCATTGGTTGTGTTGCAGATGATCTATGATGATTTACAAAGTATGCTCAAAAAATGATAAGATAGGCAAACCGGTTTTGGTTCTGCCATATTGAAATGAGTAGATTATGTTTTTTATTTCATTTGAGAGTGGCCATAAAATAAAGATCAGCTTCTAATTCATGTTGTTCTAATTCATGAAGATATAAGTAATAAATATAATATCTATGGTGCACTTCACCTAAGTGTCTCAAAGTGCATCGTGAGCTGTGAACCCTCCAGTTTTGTCGTACAGTTTGAGCTGTGTAGCTGCGTGTAACGACTGAAAATATTGCACATATTGCTCGGCTTTAGACAGTTTCCTGGATGAAGAAAAAAAAAATAAAAAAAAATATATATATATATATACACAGCTATAAAGTCTTAGATGAATAATCTTAGGAATGTACTGTTCCCGTTGCACAAAGTATGTGCTGCTTATATATTTTAGCATCTCAAGATTTCTGTGCTTATTTAAAAAGTTGTTTTCTTGTTTTCATTTTCAGATTGGTGACTTTGTCATATGTTCAAATCAGTCCGCTAAATGGCAGTCTGCCATTCTAAAAATTGCAAATGATTCACAATGACAGGTCAAACTGTGACTGTCTTGTTAGATAACCATGGTTCGATGTTAATGTATAACTTCAGTTGAACTGTTTCCAAATATGGAGACGTTCAACTTCTATTTCTCTATTTTCTTTATGATAACCCACCTTTTACATAACCTCTCATATCCTATAGGAAATTTCCCCATATTGTTTTGCCTTTACTGTTTGGAGTAACATAAGGCAGATAATGATGTTGACCCAGGCCGAGTAACCTACAAAATGCTGGATCCTAAACACAGAGAAAAAATCTCTGGGTTGCAGGAAATAAGATCAGAGTAATCAGTTAAACATCCTTGGCTTATGTACTTTGACTCTTCATTGTGGTTATGCATTGAAAGGCTATTTTCATATCATTTTCTTTGAAGCAGCCTTTCATAAACTAGAAGCATTTATCAGTCTTTAAGACTTTGTCAGTGGATAGGATTTAGAGTTAACTCAAATGTGCAATTGGAAGCTATGTGTAAAAAAAAAAGCTTTCCCCAACCTTCTTTACTGCATATGAGCTTGCTAATAATAGACTTCCTTTGAAGCCTTTACACATATATATCATGTACACCGGCTTCAGTTTGTATACATTCTCACTCACACACTATGTGTTTGGCTAAGAAAAACACTTTGTCCTGGTAATATTATATCCTTCTGTGGAAGAGGACTTTGCTCTGCACTTCTGTGTTTGCTCCAGTCTGTGATGCATGATGTGTGTTTACCCTGCTGTGATTAGGGATTATTAAGCTGTACTCCCGTATTCTCTATTGTGTCTGTCTTAATACAACATAAATAAATAAAACTATTGTTTTTAGTCATTCTCTGTGGTAAAGATATTTATTATTCATGATACTGAATTTGAATTTGTTTTTTAATAGTGTGCCTAAAATATGGCTGAGTGTGAAAACGTGGGTGTCTATTATCATTAACAGATGGTTTTGTCAGCCCCTAGCTGAGCTGCAACACAAAGGTTGTTACACAGGTTTTCCAACACGCCCACATATGCATGCTTGAAATAAACACCAGGGCGTGGAAACTACCCTGCCTTTTTTTAAATCATACTTTGTTTGGCTCCTTCACTCAGCCTGTTGATTTGCTGTAGAGGTCTGTGTGTGTTGGTTGTCACCTCACCGGCTGCAGCTGTGTGTTCACATAAGTGAAGAAACACACTAAGGATGGCCGGGGAGTGTGTTCCAGAGGGTCCCAACCTGAAGGAGATGAGCGAGGAGGAACTCTGGGAGCTGATCAATGACAACCGCCACCGGATCTCCTTAGGGGTCCGACCATGCATCTTGATCCCGTATCTGAGGCAGGTTAAGGTTCTCACGGAGGTGGATGAAGATGAGATCCTTTCCTGTCATAATCTGACTAACCGCTGCATGAGAACAAGTAAGCTAACTAAATGTTCTATTTTAGGTCTTCATTATGAAAGGAAAGCCAGATCTACTGAAAATGATTAGAATAACTGAAGATTTCACCGTTTAGAACTGTTAAATTATGGATTCATATTTGATCTAATATATGGCATGAGGCAATCAAATTTATACAGAGGGGCTAAGCAGTAGTTCCCCTCATCACAGAGATCCTCAGTTTGTTTCAGGTTTTACATTTTTCAGTTGTTTGTTGTGAGACAAAGATTACCAGAGTAAATGCAAAAATGTTAAATATCAGTTTGATTTATTAAGGGAAAATGTTAGCCTGTCCAGCATGGCCCTGCGTGAAAACTAATGGTCACCTAAACCTAACAACAGGTTATGTCATTGTGTATGTGGCAACAGTTGCCATCAATGATTTGTGATAATTGCTATTGAGAGTTATATAATATTGTTAAAGAATTTGGCCTACTCTTTGAAGATGTGTTTTTGTTCACTAACATTGGTAGGTTTTAAGCATGCAAGTCAAGTTTAGGGATAAGAAGATATTTAACTCTATAGATGGACATTCTGCTTTTTTCTTTCTGTTTGTTTTGTTAGCTTTCTTTGCAATTTAGGGATCATTTTTCTTGCATGCTTCCCTTTGGTTTAAAGAGACATGATAATGGCTATAGGAAATTATATTGTGCTTTTTGAGAGTGAATCAAATAGTAATTTGTCTTAGAGTAACATTTGATGATCTGAAATATTTACTGTGTCAAAATTAAGCAAAAACAAAAAATCTGTAAAAGCGCAGATAACTTCAAATCGATTAAGACAGAAAAAACTGTTTTACATTGTCTGAAAACAATTTCCTAATTCTAAGTGACACATTTCAAAATGATGTGGAAAAAGAAAAAAAAACAGCTGTTGAGTTTATCTTAAATCTCAGAAGTTCTGAGACTGACAAAGGTATGCACAACTGGAACAGGGACGTGCTGTGTAGAAAAAAAACATCAATTATCATTTCTTTGGTGTCTCTGCAGTAGTTAGATTGCTGATATTTTTATGCTGTAAAACTGCATTCGAGGTATTACGACGATGATTGTATCTCCTTTTAGGCTACATGTTGGATCTGTTGAGAACACAAGGAAGAAATGGAGCTATAGCTCTGTTAGAGGGCCTGATGATCCATTATCCAACTCTCTACACCCAAGTTACAGGACGTAAGCCCAGCACAGAGCCCTCCAGATTCAGTGGTCAGTTACCTGAAACACCTTCCTACATTTTTAGAAGATGTCTTTTCTGTGATGTACAAGAAGTACAGGATCTTTTCTTCTTCACAGGTCTGATCAAGTACTCGGAGCTCACTGAGTACCTGATCAGGGCGGTAACAGGAATGCAGACAGAGTTGCAGGAGGCCCGCAATGAGGCTGGCAAGATGAGCGCACGCTGCTCCTCCTTAGAGTCGGAGGTTGGACAACTGATGGAGCAGGAAGAGAAGTCCAGGAACCTTCAGGCAGAAAACGGACGTTTGCAGAGACACTTGAGTTCCTTGCAACGGGAAGTTACCAAGCTGAAGGATGAAAAGTGTGATCTATACATCCGCTACACTGTTGCTATTGAAGAGAAATCTGCTCTTAACGGCCGGCTCCACGACCTGAACCTGCAGGTAAGCTTCAGAAAAACAAACAAATTGATGCATATATTCTATCAAAGTAAGAATAATCTTCGATATCTGTTTTCTAGCTTATGAATGCAAAATTTAACAAAGATGTATTTATTTTTCAGTTTTAAATTTCTAATACTACTTTTAATGTGAAAGGTACATACAGACACTAAGTATTTTTGCAAATGATGCATAAATACAGAAATACTAATAACATCATATAAAAAATACATCAAAAATTAAAAAGGAATAAAAAGATGGAATTGTAGGAGCCTGGATTTCCCCTTAACTCCATCCTAGATTAACAACAACTAGGCTCTTATAGGGAGTTCATTAAGGTGCAAATAGACAAGGGTTTCTGCAAATCTTCAAAACCCAATATAGTGAAAGCTGTCAACATAAGGTCTAAGACACTTGCATAGACTCATTTAGTCTAGCACCAATCTTAACATATTCTATATTCTACTCAGATCTTCTGTATGTTCTAAATATTCCAGATTGGGCTACATCAGAAATGAGCAGATAAACTTTATTCGTATAGCCCATTTTAGCAAAAACACTGTTTAATGTGCTTTATATGCATAGGAAAAGAAAGCACAAAGTAGGCTGCAGAGGTGTAATGAAGAAAAATAAATTTAGACCTTAGACTGAAATTAGTGATGTTTCAGGTAATAGTTCAACTACTGTACAAAAAGTCAGACAACTCAACAAAAAATAATTGGACTTTGATTTGAGCTTTTATTGTTCCCTCTTTGGTACAAAAATAGATATTTTAGGTGTTTTTTTTTTCTATTCCACAGAAGGAAATGTTGACGCATTCATGCATTGATTTCTTCTGTGCCTTTATTCCAGCGCTTGAATGGCTTCATAGTCAACTGCTGACAATGTAAAGTGCACCTGTGTGTTATCTACATAAATGTGATTACCTATCCTGTTGTTTGTTGTAAGCTGAGCCTGGGTGGGGTGCATATCGAGAATTAGGAAGCTTTGTGGAAAATTCTCTTTAGCTGTGGCCGGATTTATATAGTTTTTTAACTTTTATGGCCCAAGTGGCCTTTATTTATCAGCAAACAGACAGGGAAGAAAGTGGAGAGAGTCATGCAGAAAACCTGTAGGTGTCCAGGTTGGGATCTGAACCAAGGAGAGCTAAGTCTTCACCTCTCTGCCATCGCTGCAGCCTGCAATGCTTACTTTAACAGGAAACCAAAAACCCACCTGTTTTTGTCCTGGAATGTTGTAGTCTATTTTGGTGTATGGCTTATGCGTTTGGCCATCTGAATCATAATGATTGTTTGTGCAATCTTTTTTGGAATGCGTTCCAGGAATTGAGGATGCATGGAAGATGAAACCGCATACCACCTTTCAGGGATTCACAAAGATGGCTTCCTTGAACCCTCTTTTAAAACATTTGTCCTCTCTTTCCAAATTCTGGACATTGTGGTCATCATAGGTGTGACCTTTGCTTTAGTGCAAGCCAGCAGAATAGCAAAGACTGTTGAAACGTTTTCAGAAAAACTGAGAGAAAGTCAGTATAAGCGCGTTGTTGTGTCATGATCTGAATTACTGAGAATTTACACAGACAAGGATTACAATGATCTGTAGCTGAACTGGAGATAGAAAGCGTGGGTAGAAGGTGGTGTGGTGACTAAGCTTAGAGTCATTGAAACCCATTAGTCTGACAAGAGATATTTTTAATAAAGGAGATACCTCACCTTTTTTAGGTATTTTGACCAAAACGTCACAAGAACTTGATTATTATAACAGCACATTCATTCACTTTGTCTCATTCAATAAGTATTTCTGAATAGTAACTCATGTTTGTTCTTCACACAGAGGTTTTTTTGAACCGGCCCAGACCTAAATCATTTCGGTATTACGCATGTATAGATTGTATAGATAGAATAATTAAAAAATAGGTATCCAATCTAAAAAGATAGGAAAGTACATTTTAACATGGTATTATTATTTTTTTTTAAATCAGGATCACAAATAAACAAATTCAGGTTCCTTATATCAGCATGCGACAGCAAACGTGGTTGAGTGGTTGTGTACACTATAATAAGTAATTTGCTTTATTGTTTTATTAAAGATTTTTAATAAAAGTCAAGTGCTTCTTGTTCCTCATCTTCTTCTTTTATACATGATCTGTATTACTGCCATCTTCTCATGGAAATGTAGAATTTATGCTTCTTAAAAAGTTTGTCTACCTCTAGAGTCTTCTCATTATCACTGCAGACCTATTACTTCGACTGCATAGATTCAGTCCTAAGTGTTTTTATCTTCTTACTTTTCTAATAAACTGCCTGTGTTGCCAGGTTAGCCATGTTTAATTTACTATATAGGAAGGCTTGATTAAAGGTCACAGGTAGATAGACTTAATTTATTAAGCGTTTTCTAGTGATAATGACCACTCAAAGGGTTTAACACTAAGGCAGTTCATGACTCTCTTCTCTGGCTTTTGACTTGCTGCCCCCTCTAAGATTAAATGTTACCTCTATTTGATTACTTTTTTCAAAACTTTTATGTCTTTCAGCTTTTATATGTTCCCCTGAGTAGAAAGGAATCATATCCTTTTTTGTTTTGTGTGACTCAAAGCTTTGATTAACACCTTTCTTTGTCATGGGAATAGGGCTGTGCAGAGGGAAAATGCCTTTAAAATTTCTGTAATCGGGTGTGATTTGGTGGCGTAGTGGTTAGCGCACACAACCCATGTATGGAGGCCTCAGTCCTCAACGCAGTCTACCCGGGTTTGAATCCTGTAGTCCTTTCCTGCATGTCTCTCCCCCTCTCTCGTACCCACTTTCTTATCAGCCTACTATTCATAAAAAACAAGCCACTAGTGCTGTAAAAACAAGAAAAACATAAAAGGTTTCTGTAAAACAGACAGCACTGTGGTATTTAAAATCAGCTTTATTCTAAATTAGTTCATGGCATGTGATTAAGAACATTAGCATTTATTGGTCTTTGATGACAGGTATATCAGCTGCAGACGGAGCTCCAGAATATTCAGATGGAGAAGGAGTTCCACAAACAGCGCTCCCTTCGAAATCTTTCCTCTTCTCACACCCCACAGCTGCAGGAGGTCAGAAACCTCTATAATCAGGCATTATTATGTTTTTTTCCCAATTTATTTTAGAAAGAGAAAGCATCAGCAGTTCCTTCTCTCTTAATGATATTTCCTTGTCTGCTTTGAACCTGTCAGGCTCATAAGGACATCCTGGAACAGGACCTAGCAGAGGCAATTGACAGTCAGGTGGAGCTTGCAGAGCACCTAAAGAGCTACAGAGAAGAAAATGAAAAGTTGCTGAGAGAAAAACAAGGGGTATGTGTTCCGCCATCAATATGGGATCTGGGAAAAGTATGCAAATTTGGTTTAACATTTATAAGGATAAAGGTCACTCATTTATAGGTAGAGTGACCTTTAATTTTATTTATTTTTTTGGAGTTCGAAACTGTATGTTCATTTAACCATGAAGAGGTAATTGTTGATTCATGTCTGTCTTTCATACATACTAAACAACTGTTACAACTCTTCCAATGAGTAAATATAACTACCCAAATCTGCTGATGTGGTTAATAAATGCGACATGCCATGAGTAAAGTAGAAACAAATAACATTAACCATGACGTAGGTGAATTCATCCTTCAACCAGAGGAAAATTATGTTGTTTTTTTTCATAATAATAAACACATTAGCTTAGTGACAAAATTTGCATCTGATATTTTGCTTGTTCTTAAAGAATTTGTGGTTGTTGATTTTTTTTTTTTAGCTCCTGGATCAAACAGAGACTCTGAGCCTCCAGGTGCAGCAGCTTTCTCTGGACTGTAAAATGCATCAGCAGAAGAGCACTGTGGTTCAGAGTCAGATGAAGGAGCTTCAGGTTGAGAGAGACCAGGTAGCTAACTATTCCCCTTAATACCCCCTTAATATGCCTGTTGATTTATACTTTACCTGCAATGCTCACCTGGAACTGGTCGCCTGTAATAACATTCTCATTGTTCACTTATGCAACATACCAACAGTTTGAGTAATCAAACTCTTTTGTGTTCTTTTCAGCTGTATGCTTTAAGCTTGTCTTACGTTCCTATTCTAATTTAAGTTTTAAGTTTTTATTTTTGGATGAGCAAACACTGTAGCATAATTTAATAAAAAAAAAAAAATCTATCTAGGCAGAAAGGTTTGTGTTTTAATTTAAAGGGAAAGCATGCTTTATTGCACACTTTCCTCCCTTGAGGTCTTTGGCTGCTATTTGTAAGACTATCTCTGTTCTAAGAAAAACGCAGATGTAGAATGTGACCGCACCTTAGTGTCATCAGTCTACCTCACTGTGTGACGCTTCCTGAGTGTAATAAACTGCTCATGCTTGACATTCTTTTATCCAAATCAAACATTACTTTTTAATCCTGTGTTTTAAAAACACTGTTATCTCCTAAGAAAACCATCTCTTATTCTTAAGTGATGTATTACTCTATCACTAAAGTATGACAACGTAATAATAATAACCTATAATATAACTGGGTAACCTTATATAACCACTGTATTTACATAATAGCATGTATTAGATTACATTTTAAATAGTTTGCAGTTTTATGTGATTTGTGAAAATAAAAACGACGGAAAAAGGAAGTAGATGTTAGCCAGCATTTGCCATCTTATAGAAGCATTTAAACAAACCCTTGCATATCTGCATTCCAGGTTGTAGATGGCAAATAACAATTTTTTTAAATTGTGATAATAAAGATGTTTTTCCGAATAAATCAGCAATCTGGCCCAACAGAGTCAGCAATGCATCTGTATCCGTTTTTTGTTTTAACTAGGCCTACCAGTCCAGAGATGATGCCCAGGCTATGATCGCCCGCATCCTGGCTGAGAAGGACACATTGAGGAGTCAGCTGGTGGAGCTCCAGGAGGCCGTCTTTGCGCTTCAAGCTAAGCGGAGCCCTAGGATCAAACTACAAAGCTCGGATGTATGTTTATAAACTCAAGAACGATCACATTCTGTGAACGCAAACCCATCAGGCACTAATATGACTCCACTAATGCAATGGGGTTGTAATTAAAGGTGAAGGAGAGGAGCTGGGACAGCGAAACCTCCAGCTCTGAAGAATGTCTGCTTCCTGTTCGACGAAGGCTTCGACGCATGGATGCTCTTAACCCCATGTCCCTAAGTTCTTGTCTTTCAGAAGTATGTCACTCTATTTTAAGGAAAACTTTATTACTTTTAGGTGTTTTTTCTAAACTTTAAACTCCTTAAATGTTATTACAATGATTGCAACTATATGTTGTAGACATACACAAAGTAGCAGTTTTTCACGTTTTTCTTATTTCGTTATCATTCCCATTCATCCCTCTCATGTGAATCTATTTGTGGTTTCCCCTAATCAGCTATGCACATCTGGAATGTTTTTTTGGACATACTTTCTCACAAAATAAGCTCTGCCACATTAAAGTCTCAGTTGGATTTGAGTTTAAACTTTGACTGATACATTTTCAAAATGAAAACATAATCTCGTTGCTGCTTCATACATGACTATGTTAATGAGCTCAATAACTCTGAGCAGCTTTCCCTTCCCTGTTGAGTACAAACATCTAACAGCATGATTAATAATTACTCTGTGCCTCATGCATAGCCTTAGAAGAACTGCAAACAGGAGTACCTGTCTTTCCACGCTGACTCTCCTCTTGCCATACCTCCATAATGAGTAGATTGCTGGAATTTGTTCTGTTTATTGATTTTTTTTCCCCCAGAGTTAATGGGCCTCTGTGCTGTTCCTCTGACTAATGTCCTGTTTGTCTGCCCTTTCAGTTTAAGCGAAAGGCTACATTTTAATAAATTTGCTGTTCTTCCAAACCTATCCCATTTTATGAAAGATTAACTGAAAAGTTTAGCTGCTCAAAGTTTGAGACTTTGTTTTTTTGCTCAACCGCTTTAAACTTCTCTACCTCCTTCTCTCTGACCCCTTTCCTTGGTTCCTTGGTCTTCCTAGATGCTTTTTGTTCTTCAATGTTCTCCAACAAAGCTCTGAGGCCTTTACAGAACAAGCTGAATGATATTGCATATATTTTACCGACAGCTGAACTGTATTTGTACAGGCAGGTAGTAGACATTGATTTCTTATGAACAATATAGTACCGAGGGCTGAATACAATTTGCAGTTTTACTTGAACTACATAGACAACAATGACACATTATGCTAGCAGAAACTAAGAAACTTTGAGTGCTCTAATTTTCTCATTATTTTGATATTTTCTTTATTTTTATCCTACAGTCAGAAAATGCTTTGCCGACCAGTGTCCGATCCAAAGGTGTCGAGCCACCCAGTCCAGAGTCTCTCCGTCGAAGACAGGAAATTTTATACGAAGACAGCAGGTATGTCTGCGTCTTTTTGGCCGATGTGTGTGTGTGTTTTTTCGTTTTTTTTTTGCCTCCACAGTAACTTTGAATGAGTCATTTTAAAAACCTGGAAAGGGATATTTGAACTGTTCTTTCCACTGCATTGTTCCTGTACTGTTGAAACCTGTGGCTCCGGTGGATTATTAATTCACAGGAATGTGAGGTGCAAGTCATGCAGTCCTAGAAGCAAAATGTTTTATTAGTTGTGTCCCTGTAGCCTAAGGGAATGCTCAGTGGGAAGCTTGCCAAAAGCTTAAGTTTTATCATCCAGAGGCAATAATTACTGCTCCCTAGTAAACCATTCTGTGCTGTTGCATGATTTCATCTGAGCTATTTAAGACTTTGCTCTGCATACATATTTCCAAAGTACATGCTTTTTCATTTCCTCATGTAGTTTGGAGGCAGCAGAGACTGACTCTCTACTGGATGAATTTGTGTTCCTTCCTGATGGTATGTGGGACAAAACCTTTCTTACAGTGAGCTATTTTAAGTGTTTAATACTTTTCTCTTGAGTCAAAAGACCTTTGTTACTTATTGTTTGAAGCTAAACTTTGCCAAAATGGAAAATTGAGACATGAACTCTAGCATATTATTGGCGGGTGGAAACAGTCCTGGTGACAGTTCACTTTATAAGCTCTCTTTTGTTCAGCAGGAGGTGAAGACGAACAGAAACCCAGATCACCCTCTACTCGTAGCTCTGTCTGGTGAGGAGTCCACTGATAATCTGGCCTGAATTTGCTGGTATTGTTACCTGAAGAAGAAGCCAGGCTGATTGTAACACACTAAATGATGAAGTGTAAAAGTTTTAAGCATAAACCTTTCAATTGAAAAACAAAAACAGGCATTTTAGTTTCATTAATAACACTATGTACTGTAGTGTGTCTCAGTAGTTTTTAAACTGATTTGTTATAGAAAAAAATCTGCCCTTGAACAAACATTTTGCAAGATTGAAATTTTTGAATAAAACAATCCTGAAAATCTATCCCGGCTTTCTCTCTTCTTCTCAGCCTCTCCAGAAGCTCAGCCCCCCCCTTCCTTGTGCGCTCTCGTCCAAAAGCGATACGTGTAAACGGCCGTGTTCTCAGCATCTCCCTCCAGTGTGAGGCACTGCTTAGCCAGATAACTGTAGTGGGAGGAAATAAGTCGGGGGTGTTTGTGCACCAGGTGACTGAAGGCAGTGCTGCCCATACTGTTGGCATCTCCCCTGGGGCGCAGATAGTGGAGGTGAGTTTAAAGAGGAAAAAGGTGATGAATATGCATGTGATGAAAAGGTCCCACATCATGTTTTTGTTCTGCAGGTCAGGCATGAGCAAAATAACAAAGCTCTGAAGATGGTGTTGGAGGACTCCACTTTAGAAGAAGCTACATGGGCTCTCAGCCAGGTTTCAGGCTTCTGTCAGCTGTCGCTTCGCCCCAGGCAAAATGGTAGGTCCTACAGCATGGGAAAGACTAACATGAACCTGAACATGTAGCAGAGCCACTGTGAATCTGTTTTCTTCTTCTTCTTCTTTTTTTTTTTACATTGATACACTGACTAAACAATAATGGTTCCAAGTGGTGTGAAACTATCAGGAAGTGGATTTTTCTGGAGATTGTGAAATGAGATAACGACTAATATTTAAACCTGTAACAGGCAGAAATAATGTCAAAGACTTGTTTCTGTGTTTCACTATTTGTCAGTTATGCCAATGATTAAAAACAGCTGCTGCATTAAAGTGGAGTAAAGAAATCATGGAGTTATAAACCAAACATCATATAATGCATTTTAACCTAAGCTTTAAGATTGCTGAAGATTCATTCAGGTCATATAGTCATGCAAATCCAGGAAGCTCTTTCAATTCAATACATTTTGAATAAAAAAATAAAAAAACCCGGATGGGAAGCAAAATGTCTTCAAACTTTGAAACCAAGTCCAGTGGATTTGTTTTTTTTTACTCTTTTGGAAAGCTTTAAGATTCCAGCCTTCATTCAGTTCTTAACATCTTTGATTATGTTATTGTGAAGTTCCTCTTATTTTTTTTTTAGAAACTAAAGGTAAACACTACCAATTTCAGCTAAAAATAAAGGTGGCTGTTGACTGCATTCCCTTTCAGATCTTAGCTGCACTCACGCTGCTTAACTTAATCAGCACAAAGGTGCAGTAGACTTCCAGAGAAGCATGCAGTCCATCTACATTCCTTTCAGTGCTCTAGAGTTTCACTTCGAATGCAAATACAAGTGTGAGCACCTCTCATTTTCCATCTGTTGCCTCTTTGTTTTTCTGATGTTTGATCTATCAATAGAAGGCTTGTTTCAGCTTATGGCAGTCTGTGCTCTAGATTCATGCAGTGTGAACCCCAGATGACCTCAGTCAACTTTTCTAATGGGCTATGGAGCATTTAACCAAAAGTATAAACTCATCCATCCAAAGCAATTCATTCAGGTGTTGCAAACACCCTAGTGCCCGTGATGTGCGCATGAAATACAAAAAAGTTAAAATAGTTTTACGGTAAAAAAAAAAAAAAAAGGGACATCTTAAAAAAGGAATGCTGTATAGTTGTTAAAAAATAACATACTCAACTCGAAACTAAATATGGTGTGTATCTATCAAAGAAAACAGTTATCAACATTTAACTAGCTGTGTGGACCACTGTTTTGAAAGGACGTTACCTAATCTCACCTCAAAAAATAAGAATTAATAATGATGAATGATGAATTTTGCAAGATCAAAATCTTCATATGCAAAAGGGGAAAGTTTAACAAAGGAGTCCACGTGGCGTTGCAGTGTGTTTAGTGTTGTTATTATCCCTCACAGACTACGAGGCTCTGCTGCAGCAGCTGCAGAACAGCAAGATGTCATCAGGAGACTCCTTCTACATTCGGGTCAATCTATCCCTTTCTGCCGGTGCCAGCTGGACCTTGGCCGTGTCCTGCAATGATATCCTACATGTGACAAACACACGACCTGCTGGCACTGAGGATCTGTGGCATGCCAGCCAAGTCCACCCGTGTAAGCTGCTCGATCTCCAGAGCGGTACTGTACCCAATTATTACAGGTTGGTGCACTGCTGTGAGCCTGTAGCAGATCATAAAAGGTCAAGATGATGACATTTATGGAGTAATAACAGATTTCTTTCTGTTAAAGGGCGCAAAGACTATTGATTCAAACAATTGAAGATATGAGCTTTCAGACAAAAAAGTGTCAAAAGGTAAAAAAAAAAAAAAACAACTACAAGCCAGTTGACAAATCAAGAGATCAATGTTTAAAGTCGATCCTGGAAAACTCCTCATTTCAGGTTGGGCGACTGAACACACAAAGCGAGCAGAAGGTTGTGAGAATTGTAAGCACAGGGCGTCAGGGGAGGAACCCTCTGTGGGTCAGTGTGGAGGAGGAAAACAACAAGAGCACAGAGTCAGGTACAGTAAACTACAGCAGTACTGTCACATATGGAAAATCCTCATCTCTACTTCGACTTTGCTACTGCAGTATTTATAAAACGTTTTTTCTCTGTCCTTCCACCTCTCAAGGTCCTCCATCAGCATCCAAAAGCTGTGTAACCCTCATGCCCTTCACCCTGGTTACACCTCATTTCCCTCCAGTCTGCAGACCTATCCTGCTGTTGCCTACAATACTGGGCCGCATGCTGGACAAGAAGCTGGCCAGCTGGCAGGGCTTCCAACTCTGTGAGCCTGGTAAGAAATGCTGTAGCCTCATTAGAACCGCCACAAGGAAACAGGTTGTAACACAGTGCATACAATTCTCTGTTCCTCTTGGGTTTTTTTTTTATTTTTATTTTTTTACAATTTTTCCTTTTATAATCTTAAACCTCAATGTGTCTTTTTCATTTTTCGTAAGCCAACAAAGTAATGTAGAACCTGTGAAAAAGATGGTTTCATATTGGCTGGTTTCATGTTGACATTAAGCTCAACACATTCAAACTCTTATTTTTACCAATTGTATAGATTTTATTTACCAGCATCAGAGTAAAGGGGGAGGGGTGCACACATCACTCTTCAAATTTGAATTTAAACATTTTTTTAAACTATTTATCCTTTTCCTTCCAGTGTTACAAAGCTTGTTGTTGGTCTGTTGCTTAAAATCCAAATAGTGCTAAACAAAGTGTGTGCGGCTATAACGTGACAAAATGTGACTCAGTTTAAAGGCCATGAAGGCCATTTGGACCCACCGTCTGTTCTGTAGACATTTTATTGCTGAGATTACTGATTTATCTCTTCCTCTACTTCCGACTTTACACTGAAGTGATGCTGTGTCTGGCCAGCTCTGTAAATAATCTGGTCTCTTACTGGACAGGTGTAAACATTTTATGGTTTTGTCTGTAATGATAATTCAAGAAGGAAATAAACTTGGTGGGTAAATATTTATTTTAAACCACAGCAGCTATAAATAGCGAATGTGTGCCGATGTTCAGCAGGTTACAGTAAATATTTGTTGACCTTTGACGAAAAGTTTGATGATTTCAACAGCAGTGAACAAGAACATGTAACTGAGAGAGTCAAATAATCAGTCCTTAGGATAACCAACACATTGTTGTCTCGTGGGAGCTCTTTTCCTCTCACCTCCTCCTTTATGCGTTTTTCCTTTTTCCTGCAGAGGTTTTGACCTCCAGCGAGCATGCTGCTCGACTCCAGAGGTCTGAGATTCTGGAGGAGGTTGAACCGGGCGGAAATCAGTGCTTCACCCTTCAGAGTGTTGACAAGGTCATGAAAAAGGTCAGGAAAACCTCCAATGCTTTAATGACTAGGAGTCAGTCATCTTTTGTGAAGAAAAGTAATGGAACTAAGTTCAATCTGTTTGCAGCCTCATTGCTGTTAGATTGAATAATTTGTATCTGTCTATATATGCACTTCTCCACCTTCTCCTCCATGTTGTGGTTCATCTAGAGGCAATAAAAACAAATAAAAACAAATAAACAAGCAGAAGAGACAGAAGCCTATCAGCTGACAGCAGTATTACAGACCAGTGATGGATGTTGATTTGGCAGGCATATATCACCCCCCATCCATCTTCTTCTTTCAGGGCCTTCACTGTGTGCTGCCCTTAGGTCTGGACTGTGTGCGTCGGCTGCACCGCTACGAGATCTTTCCAATTATCATATTCATTGGCGTATCTGCGCGCAGTGCCCGTAAACTGAGGTATTTTGTCTTTTTCTGGCTTAAACTTTGACACCCTTCAAACGTCTTTACAAGTTGTGTTGCAGTTATTTTATGTGATAGGCCAACAAAGCGTAGTGCATAATGGTAGCTCAATGGTAGTAATATAGTTCATGGTTTTTAAAGTAAGTTAAAGTTTCATTAATCAGCCCTAAACTCAATACTTGTAAATTAATTCCACTGCAAATGATTTCCTTCAGAAGTTGCCTAATTAGTAAGAAGATTTGCAGTATAATGAGCAACATTGCAATCATGGTTTAAATCCAGTTAATTTAAGGCTGAGCAGCAGCAGGTGAGCAGATTAATTTTCAGGCAACAGGAGCTGCAGAGATCACTTTTGTGTTAAAGTAGGGTCTCAAACGCTGGTCCTTAAGATCTGCTGTCTTGCAGGTTTTAGAGGCATCCCTGTTCCAGCACAAATTAGTCAAAAAAAAAAAAAAGAGGGAGTGGCAGCCTAGTGGTTAGGGCATAGAGCTGGGAATCCTGAGGTTCTGAGTTCGAGTAGACTGCAACTTCCTGAGCAAAAGACCCTTAACCCCACACTGCTCCCTGGGCGCTGCACAATGGCAGCCCGCTGCTCCACAAGGGGATGGGTTAAATGCAAAGAGTGAATTTAGTTGCTCTGTACTTTTGACAGTGTGAGGACAACAATAAGCAGGCAGAAAAAATATTGCCTTTGAAATCAGTCATTGTTAATGGGAAAATTTTATAAAGCCAAATATAAGGCAATCCTTAACTCCTGGGTGAAGGCTGGGACAAAGGCTGATAATCTAAAAGGAAAATAGCTGTAAACATACAAAAGGCTTTCATGGAAGAGTTCAGATTGAAATATGCTTAAGTGTGAAAATAGCTTATTTCTAATGGAGTAATAAAAAGAAAAAAGTTGCTGTTTTAACGAAATGTGGCTTTACAAAGTCTTGAGGGGGAAGTGCTGTGGACAAATGTAACCCAGACACTCCTGTTTTTTTGGTGTGTGTGTTTTTTTACTAAAGGTTACACCTTGGCCTATCTAAAAAAAAACATTCTTATTAAATGCATGAACCTTTAAGGTTAAGGATGAACAAATGGGAAAATGGTTTGGCGGGTTTAACTTCTCTAGGACTGTAACATTAAAACCACAGACAGGAAAGTGGTCACATTGCTCAGCTATTTGCTTTCAATTGTTAATATCACAATTTTTCTAAAAACTGCTCCCAAAAGATATTTTCATTCAAAGATGGGTTTACTTTAAATTATGACATTCTATTGTTAAATGAGGTCTTAATTTGACTCCTAATTAAAATAAACTACATTTCCCCTTTATATATGATTAGCAGTTAAATATTTACTTAAGAATACGACCTGACAATACAGATTTATTACATTTTTACAAAACCATGATATTCAACATAAATTATGCGGTAAGGAACTCTATTGAAATGATGCATGTTTGAAAGTTATTGCTCCAGTTTTAAAATGTTCGTGCTGCAGGTCAAAGCTGCAGCGTAAAGGCCAGACGGAGGAACAGCTGCTGTCATGTTTGAAGAGCGAGGAGCCGCTGCTGGACAAGCTGCCGTGTCTGTACCACAGCATGGCTCCTGACTCCTGGTGTGACCTCAACTCGCTGCTGACCAGCCTCCGCACCATCATCTGGGAGGAGCAGAGGAAGATCGTCTGGGTGGAGCCAGATCTGTGGTGAAGATGGAAGAGAATGCTTGATTCTCAGCTGTGGATACCACAATAATGAATAAGCTTTACAAGAGATTTCTTTGTAAACATGAGTATGTATCTGTGATACTTTTTAGTATATAAGATATTTATAGATTGTATTTGTTTATAACAAGCATATTTAAACACTCAAAAAAAAGAAGTAAAAAAAAATCCAATGAACTTTGTTTCCAAGTTTGAAGATGTTTCGCTTCCCATCCAGGAAGCTTTTTTATTTAAAAATGTCAGGAATAGTGTTGAGTTCGAGGTTTTATACAGTGGCCCATCAAAACCTTATTTTTGTTTTGAAAACATGCAAATTGAAATGGATGAAGGGTTCCATTCCTTTGGAATGGGGCGTTTGGCTTCTTTTGTTAGCCTGTCAATGTATGACCCATACCTTACAATGTCTCTAAAAGGGTTGTTGTTAAAGGGCATTGTTGGCCTGGCTGAATAGGCGAGGTCTTCTGCTCTTCTGTAAAGCCCAGCGTACACCGTGCGATTTTCGGGGCAATTTTCCAGTCATGAGAGAATCTTTCAATCGGGTCGGCTTTCAGCCTGATCATGCGCTGTGAGTTGTGTAGTGTACAGGGGGTTACGAGCACCGATCAGCCTCTCACGACCACCTCCTGATCAGGAATTGTGAGGTCGGATTTTTTCCCGACCGTCGTGGGGAAATTGCTCAGTGCACATGCACAAACAAGGATACTTCTTTTTATTCTTCCTCTCAGATGTAAACACAGTAGTGTGGCAGGGATGCAATGAGTGAAATGCAGATCCGTCTGCAAAATTGACGGACCGCAGCAGCCACGCCTGCTCATCCATGTCCTTTTTCCAAATACGTGGTCGCCCTTTCTTTCTAGGACCCTCAGCACAAATTAACAAGGCAGCCAGTTCATTATAGTGAGCTTAATATCCCTCTTCTATTTGTTTGGCTTCAGGATAGAGAGCTACAGAGCAGCTCCATCTCACTGCCGAGCTGAGTCCGACATGGTTTTTAGTTGCACAGTTTGAGCAGCTAGATCGCATCAGAGCGTCGCGCCGAACATAAATCGTGAGCTGTGAACTCACCCTGTACGACTAAAGCCTGTGTTTAGTCTTACTGTTTGACCGGCAGCTGCGTGGAACAATTTAAAAAGAATTGCACAGTGTATGCCGGGCTTAAAGGGGTTGCAATGATAGCGGGAAGGGATCAGCTCAATTGCTCAAAAGAATGTCTGGTCCTGAGGACCACAATGTTCACATTTTTGACAAAGAAAATAGGTGGTTTGAGGGGCGCGAAGGAAGCCATGTTAAGAAAGAAAAGCCAACTTTAAACAGAAGAGGTGGACTTTCAGCTTTCAAAAACCTACAATGCAGCTATTGAGTTAATCCCTTCCCACTATCATCGCTTTAATTGAAAAAACTTCCTGGATACAGTATATTTGTTTACCATGTTGGTTTTGTTTCTTTTTACTAATGATTTGGCATTGGTTGGCTGTTTGGGTGCACACATTTGGTTGACTCGTTTTGCCACAATTTTCTTGTATGATTTATTTAGAACTAATTATTTTCTATTGAGTGTCCAGTTCCTGTGAGGCTGTCATGTACAGTAGGCTTGGCTGGGGCGGTGAAGCAGGAGTCCCAGCTGCAAATAATCTCAGTGGCTCTGAAACTTGTTCGGACTCTGCCACTTACTTTTTAGTTTACGTTTTAGTTTTTTCATCTCTTGAATTGAAAAAGCTTCCTGGATGGGAAGCAAAATGTCTTAAAATCTGGAACAAAGTACAGTGGATTGTTTTTTACTTTTTTTTTTTTTTTTTGGAATAACTATGACCTGGATGACAGAGAAACTTCACCAACATATTTAACACATTAACTGTAAGGAATTATATTATCCTTGTTAGGTTGTAGGTAAGTTCTTGCTATTATGGATTGCATCTTTTGTAGGTCAGTTTCAAACCACTACATTTGCCACTACTGGCTTTGAAATGCTATTTGGAGGCCATTTTGTCCTTATAATGTTTTTTATGTAATTTATGGAATATAAGGTTCTTAATAAGATTTGAAAAGCTTTACAGATTTCTCTGTAAATCTAGTTTCTCTAAGGCTGCTTGTCTTATGTTGTCCCTAACCCCTAACTGAGCCCTCAGTTGGACACATTGTGTATGTGCTCTCTGAACTCTGTTATGATCGTACTTCCTTGTAGCTTATGTTGTGGTACTTAACAGCTATGATGCAATCACAGAAAAGCTTGCTCTTTATTCCTCTGTCTCTCAGCAACCAGTTTTGAACTTGAGCATGATTTCTATTCCTGAATGCTTGTCTCTGCAGCCTCTTTGTGCCTCTTTGCGTTTTTTTTTTGTTTTGTTTTTTTTTGCCAGACTTCAGAGTTTCTTGGCAATAAAAAAAAAAAAAACAGCCCCATATATCTCTTTATCTGGAGTATTTATTTTAATAGAACATATGCTGATTCTTTGATTCTTTAGGCTATTAAATTTAGACGTTTTTTTGTTTTTTGTTATATTTAATTTCTTACTGTTTAAGTTTAGCATAAATATATAAAAAGAAGGATGAAGGAACTTTTAGATATGCTGCTGATCGATCTGTTACCCTAACAATACCTGTTCATACAGTGTGTGTTAAAGAGCCATAATATCACAGTGAGATTCACTGTTTCTATCCCTTGACTTTTTTTTTGTCTGTGATAATACATTTAGTTTGAACCAGCTCTATATTATATTTGTATGCTATGCTGGTTAAGAGTAAACCTTACACAGTGTGTAGTATATCTAGGGAGTACTTTTTCATAGTAATGGTAAAAGAAGAATGGACAACTTTTTCTATTTATAAAAATCTGGTAGCATAAATATATTTAAATTGATCCTGGGAGAGGGAATTTAAGGTTCATGACTCCAACTTGTCATATTATTAGAGTTTTCTGAAACATATGGAAAAGTTTGAAGTTTTATTTTCTTGTATTATTTTCTTCATATTTGAATTATTATAACTGAAGGATTAATATTTAAATAGTTAACAAATTATTTCTTAAACTCATGTCTAACTTAATTTTAAGGTAAGTGATTGATAGGCATTGACTTACAGCTAGTCTAAGGTTTTCTTGGAAATACAGTTTTTATCCAAAGAAACAGCAGTTATGATGATGTCCTACAAATAAGCTGGATCATCCCTGCAAATAATTCTCTATTGCTCTATTGCTTAAACATAAATCTTGAAAACCAGGCCTCTCTGACTTTATACAGATTAAGAGCACAGCTGTGAGTGACTGTCTTTTGACATCAGTGCCTCTAGTGGCAAAATAAAGTATTGCAAGAAAAAACAGCAAAACTTGCCTTTTTTTTAACTTGCTTTTCAGGGCTTCTGTAGAATTGCTTCTCTACTATTATCCTGAAAAAAGTGTAAAAACACAATGTTTTAGTGGAT